GATGTTAAGAAATGTACTTAAAGGGGATATTGATATTCGAAGTGCTAGAACATTGGTTTCGATGGCTGTTACGCACACAGAAAGACGGCTTCATCAGATGATGTTTTCTGATGGCGATTATGAGAGGAAGCCAATTATCAAGCCGAGTGGTGATCGTCCAGTTGTTGAAGTACAGGATTCTTTGGAAAAGGGTTATTCTGTCGTACATGTTCAGTGTAAGGATCGGACAAAGCTTTTGTTTGATATTGTTTGCGCGTTGACAGACATGCAATATGTTGTGTTCCATGCCACTGTGAACACTTCGGAACACAGAGCATCATTGGTATATGTTCTGCTCTTTTTTTTTTTGTACAAATAATTCTGTTTAATGTTTGTTAGTGACTTCACTTGAGAATTGACATCCCGACTATCAACCCTAAGGTTTGTGCTCGGGTTCTGTCGATATATAATTTGCTATAAATTTTCTTCAGGAATTCTTCATTAGGCATACAGATGGAACCCCAATTACTTCAGAAGCAGAAAAACAACACGTGATTCTATGCTTACGAGCTGCAATTGAGAGACGAGCATATCAGGTGCCGTCCTCCTACCTTGGCATGTTGTGAAAAAACTCTTCGAGTCTAACATTTCACGTGTTTTCTTTGTAGTTTTGTAAGTCTAACAAAATTCTCTTTTTCTGATAGCAGGGTGTAAGGCTCGAGCTACGTACGGCTGATAGACAAGGCTTATTGGCGGACATAATGTGCACCTTCCGTGAAAATGGCCTTAATGTGACTCGAGCTGAGATATCCACAACAACGAGTGAGGCACTAAACGTATTCTACGTAACAGATCCATTTGGGAATCCATGTGATTCAGAGGTCATTGAGTCTGTTCGACATAAGATTGGCTTGAATGAATTGAAAGTGGAGGAATTGCCCTCGATCTATCACCACAGGGGAGACAAGCCCACATTGAGTGCTACGTCATCATTCGGGAGCATTGTGAGAAAAAATCTTTATAACTTGGGGTTGATCAATTCACATTCTTGAAAGAACACACGAGTTACTTTTGACTCACACATCATTACTCCATGCAAAGACGATCTAGTTCTTTTTAAGTTTTGGAACTTTTGGCATTTGTACATATCAATTATTATGCTATACAAACAGTCTCAAAAGCAAGTTTCAAAATTGGGGGATACATGTCGACACATGATTGGACAGTTTGAAAAATAAAAATAAAAAAACACTCAAATAGGTGTTGTCAAATCAATCTGTTAATTGTTTCCTTATCTTTTAGCCCGTTCAATTATCGTTATTCTTGTACATACACTAATTATGGTCCCCACCCCCACTATCCAGCAGACATTTTTTTACAACTCTAGTCCTTTTCCAAGTATTATTAGTACTATGATGCAGTTTTTGTCTTGGTTTTTTCAACAAAATCTCCCAGATTTTCCTCTATATTTTGATTATTTTCTTTGAAGCATTAATGAAGCTGGAAAAAGTATAATGTCAAATCAAAATGACAGTGTCCCAACTCCGAACTGCACACAGAACATCAAAAACTTGCTTTTCTTATTTTTAGCCTGCTTTTGGTAATCATTTTCATCCAAATTCCAGACAAATTATAGACGTTATACAGTTCCATTGGCAGGGTATGCAGTACAAGTGGCAGAGAGGAGGACAAACTTTTTTGACCAAACAGGGACTAAAATGACCAATGAGCCCTTATTCAAAATGCATTATTAACTACAGTAAGGGCAACCCGATAAATTGGAATTCTTGCAGTCAGTGCATAATCACAGGCGGGTCCCACTGATTTGACAGGAAAAATGTATTTTTACGGTAAAAATGGTTACCAAACACATGCGTAAGTAGAAAAATTACTTTTCTCAAAAGTAATTATTATTTTACTTCAAAATAAGCAATTTGTTTATTTTTAACTTTT